GTATTAGGCTTCTGCACATCACTTAACAGTACAAGGAGTGTCTTTCCCATTCAGCATGAAAACTTTGCTGTTATTCTATGGTGGTGCTCCACAGCTATGTTTAGAAGAGTCATGTACATGATGTCGGGCATCTACTTGGTCTCCTTGAGGACTCTTACAGGTGGCCATGCCCTGATCTTACACTGAGAGCAGCAAACCAACAGATGCCCCAGAAGCTCAGAGCAGGGCTGGGCCCTATCTCTTAACATTTCAGATTGCGCGATACAGAAGGCACAGTCTGGAAATCACATGAGAGGCAGCCCTCTTGTGGGGTATTCAGCTAGTCCTGCTTCCAGCTGGACAAGACAAAAGCATCTTTATTAGCACTGAGCAAGCCTATGTGCCCATCCCTACTGTGAGGATCAAACCCCGTGTGTCTTGGCAGTGCTGTTTGTGGTCACACTCTGACCCGCCAGGCTGACACTGCAGTTCCACTTGTAGCTCAGAAGGATAGAAACATGAGTCACGGAACTTGCAAACTGTTTTCTTCATTAGCTTCAATAAAGAACAAAACCAAAAGTTTGTGGGTTTCCTTTGCAACTCACCCTAAGGGGCTGGGTGAAAGGGAGGAGTCTATCTCATCTCGGCTAATGCAATTCTCATTGCGAGGCACATGTGCACACGCAACTGGCATCCAGCTGGCTCCAGAGGGAAGAACACGGGTTGGGGAACAAGCAGCTGTGGGGTTTAAAAGCAAATATCAGAGCGGCTGCCCGAGGGACTCCCAGGTGGCAGGCAGGAATATGGATGGCTCCTCATTACGCTTGTTAATATACAGCAATAGCTAGCCGCTGTGGGCTCTTGGGATCAGCCAGACCCCGCCGCCGTGTTGCAGCCAGCAGGCCGTCTGAGCCCGCCGGGCCGCGCTGCTGCTGCCCCCTGCTGGCTCGCGGCGCTCGGTGCCGCTGCCCTCACCCCCTGCCTGCAGCTTCTCCCCCTTTTTTTCTCCACCTTTCACCAAGGGAGGCCCCTCTGCTTCCCTCAAGGACATTCCGCAGAAGGCGTACCTTCAGGAAGAAAAAAAATAATAAAAATAATTAAAAAAAAGAAGAATATGAAACACAAACCCCCGCCTTTGTCTCTCCCTTTCTAGCGTTGCAGCTCCATATAAAATGTCTTTGTAATATAATACAGCTCATTTTCTTACGCCTCTAGCTGCCCACATAAAACACAGCGCTCCTGAAAGTCACCCAGATGAAAAGTGTGCTGTGCGGTGGAAACACAGGCAGGCCTTGGAGTGTAGAGTTATGGGCAATTAAAGCTGATTAATAGCCACAGCTGCAGGGGTGGGGGTGCGGGATGGAACTGCCTCTGACCATCAGCTCTATGGCAATGGGGACAGGGAGAGTGGACTGGGGACAATTTTTGTCTAATGTAACAGAGATGTGTGTGTGTGTTCACCTGCGCTTTCAAGCATGCCCTGTCTCTGATTTCTGCCCTGCTCCCATGTGAATAGCCGTGGATTTGCAGGGGATGCATGCAGGTTTTAGGCTATTAAATTTTCTCCCTCATTTCTCACCAAATTAATACCTACAAACACATACAGAGCAGGCTGTAATGTTAAGGTGTTGATAAAAGCTAAAGTGCACCACTGTAATAATTCCTATCTTAACATTACACGCAGTCCATAAAAGCACAATCTCTTGACTGCTGGGCTGCCATACAGCACAACAACATCTCTTCTGTTTTCCAGTTTCCACTCTGTGAATTTTCACCAATAATGGTTAATTCAATTCCCAGCAGCTTCCAATCTCCTGACTCAGCCCTCTCTGGATAGCAGTTGGGCATGAACATAACAAAGGATGTTAAATATTAATGCCAAGGTTTTGTCACCGGTTGTGCTATTAACATGTAGGGAACCATTCATCCTTTCCACATAAATAAGCTCTGCCTAGCACGTTAGTGCTCTGCAAAGTCATTGCTGACCAGATAATGCATCCTTCCTCAAAAGATATAAAAGCAAAGGAAGAAAAAGCAGTTTGAACTGCTTTTTGGTGGTTCGCTGCAGTTTTACTCGGGGTTTTAAATCTCAACTAACAGAACCATTAGCCAAAATAAGAAAAAGGGGTAATGTTTAAGGTGGTCCTGATAAGGATGCAGTGGAGCAGAACCTCATATGTGACAGTGACAGTGCTACACTTCAGTGGGTCTGACGCTGTCAGCACAGGTCCTACCATGCTCATTAGCTCAGCCTTTGCACCAACACCTGCCACTGCATCCACATCTTCCACTCAGGCCTGTCTTATGGAGAGGTTTCTGCTGGATCAGAGTAATGCAGGCTCTCTCGCACCTCCATGCTCAGCCATTTGCAGCCAACGATGCTGTAGGTGGGAGCCTTCTGGCATTGCATCCCACTGGCCTGTCGCAGCACGTGGCAGGGACACAATGTGATGGAAAACCAAAGTCTCCTATTACAAGTAGTTTTCTGCTAAACTCTTACTATTGTGCTCATTTGTTACTTTTGTAGCATGGCTCAGCCTCTCCAGCTGGTATTCCCGGATCAGTTAATTTGCTATTGCCACAATGGCTGTGCTTTTTCCCATGCCAACATCATTGGAGATGTGTCAGTTTTAGATAGCAGGGAACCCCTTAGTTTTGAAATATGTCAGAGGGTACAAACAGAGGGTGGCATTTTGCAGCTTGTGCTTGTGTTTCACCAATCCATGGAGAGAATGAAGCACTGCTGGAACCTTCTGCCCCTCTGAAGCTGCTGGCTGCAGCATCCAGGTGCTTAATCCATAACCAGGTGCTTGTGCCGAAAGGGAAGTGACAGGCTGATTTAAGGGGAAAAAAAAAGTATGTCTATGTTTTGTGAAAACAGAGCCTTATTCAAACAAGTTCAGAATTTCAGTGGAAAGTAGAAAATGCACTGAGATTTTTCCTTCTCTCCCTCATCCCCAGCCATTCATCTCCACTTCTAACAGTAGTATCAGCAGACTGGCATTGTGAGGCAGCAAGACTCATACTTCAGGTGTCACCAGTGTTGTTCTGTTGTCTGACCAGCTCTAAACAATGCACCCCATTCAACAGGTACACAGCCTTCTGACGTTGCTTTAGTTTCCCTCGTAAGCCTTCTCAGTGGCATTTGAGAAGCTGCTAAAGAGTGGCACTCTGATTTCACGTCTTCACAGCACAGCCATGGTTAATGGAGGGAGGCACAGAGGTGCAGAGGTAATTATAAGCACTGATGGTCACAGAGGTAAGAATCATCTCTCAGGTTTATCGTCCCCTTTCCTATTGGTCCTGCAATGGCATTTAATATGATCTTACTCAAGCTAGATCTATCCTGCATAGAAAACAGAACATAATGCAGATGTAAGTAATGCAGATGTAAGTAATGCAGATGTGGATGTAGGAGCTCTGCTAGGAGTTCAGAACAGCCCAGCAGAGCCAGCAGGATGATGGTTTGGCCATCCTACTGTGTTCCTCCCTCTCCTGTGGTGTCACCTGTAAGTGCAAAGCAGCATAAGGCAAAGCAGCCTTCCTCCATTGCAGCTGCAATGGGCTTTAGAGAATGCCTCTGGGGCTTCCCTGAAGTTCCCTCTGGTGAAATGTAATCATGGAAGGAGCATGAGGTGCAGTGGGTCTGACACAAAATGCTGTGATTTGAAAAATTTAAAGAATTAATGAGCTGAAGGTCTGGCAGGAAGAGTGATATGTATGCAAAGTGATTCTCAGTGACACTGTGATAGATTGGCTTGCTTTTTAGTTTTGCCATAGCCTTGATATTTGGCCTACAGCATCCAGGAGAGATGATAATAATTTGACTTCTGAAGTGCTCCCACATCAAAGCAATCAGTGCACTGTACCAAATGCAAAATGCAATTAAACTAATGTGTCGCACTAGGGAGAATAAAGCTGAGCCTCAGATTTTATTTTTTAAATGAGTGGGTGTGAAAATAACCACATTAATCATCTACTGAAGTTTTCATATGGAAGTGATGCCACCAGCACAGTCACAGGAGTTGCACCAGCAAACAATGTGATGAAGAGAGGTTTTCAGGCCCATAGAAGAACTCTGTTAACAATTGCAAACACATCTGAGTTGGAGATTCACATCAGGTGAACTGAGGTGGGTAAACGGGCTACAAAATACAGGACAAAGGGACTTTGGGAGCATCCAAATGATGACTCCTAGTGTCTGACAGGTGGGTAAACTGAGGCACAGGTAAAGCTATGGCTTTATGGCTGACACCTGCTGACAGAGCTGGGAGGAGGGCTGGACTTGCAGTCATAATCTACCAGTGAGTCTTTATTACTATTTTCCATTACTCCAATTCTGTTGAAGTAATTTGGGCACCTCTGTGCACAGAGATGTTGCAGGGTGTGCTCCCATTCCCAGCAGCACTGGCAATGCTTTCTTATTATCATTAATTCAATGGGCCCACGCAGAATACGCCACACTGCAGTCTGGTGCCTGAGAGCAGGCTGTTGAGCAGTCCCCATCCTGACCTAAGCAAGCTGGGATTATAACTGCTATTGGAGTGAGCAAATGGCACAAAATCAGTGGGGAAAAGTTGGGGCATCAGCTCAGTCTGAGCTCTGAGCTGCTGGGACTGGAGCACGCATAGCTGGAGCTAGTGCAGAGTTGTCTACCTGGGGAGCAGCCCTGCAGTGCAGCTAAGCTTGGTGTGCTTCATTCCTCAGTAAAACACCTTTTTGCATTTCCCACTTATCTCTTTTAATAACAGAAAGTAGTTTGGATTTTACAGCGGAGTAAGTTCCGCACGTAGTGTCTTGTAAGCACAAAATTGCATAGGCACTGGGATTTTTTCTGCTCTTGGTGTTGTTCTGGCAATGGACTCTCAATTACAAGCACGAGGGGTCTGTGAGCAGAACAGATTTGTCCTGCAGTGGGGCTGTCCCTGAAATGTGGCACAAAGAGCGTCATCTTCTAAAGCCTCATGCTCTGCTCACTCCAGGGATGGGGTCTTGCACACAGCAGTGGAGTGAATAAAAGTGGAGAGAGTGCCAGAATGATATCCTGTCATGCTGGGATTCCCTTCTACTTCCAGCTAGAAGCATGCCTGCATGACAGCAATAGCAATAACAATGAATAATTTTTAAAAAAATCCATGTAATGCAGAACTCTGCTGGAGAGCTGTAATGTAAGGCAAGGGGCTGGATTTGATTAACGTGATGAAATTACACAAGCTTCTCCTCTCTCCCTCAGTGCCTGCCGAGCAGCATCTCTCTCTCTCCTCATCCCTCTGCTCCCTCTCTTCTTGCTCTGCAGCAGAGCTGGGGCGGGCAGTGCAGTGAGGTAGGGTAGGCAGCCAGCCCTCCACTTTCCTCTCTGCCCTGGGCTCCCAGGATCCCGGGATCCCCCCCTGGGCTGCATCATTGACATGCAGCACCCAGCAGGGCTGCATCACTGCTAGAGATGCTGGCACGGAGCCTCCCGCTGCGCTACGCAGCAAACAGGATCGGCTGCAACTTGGGGTGCCCAAGGTAAGAGCAAAGTCTTCTCTCTCAGTTCTCGGGGGAGGGAGGAGGGAAAGGAGTGAGAAGAGGCTGCCAGAAAGCCAACAGCTCCTGGGGGCTTGGTGCTGAGTGCTGGGGAGGCAGCGTAAGGGGCAGGGAAAAGCTCTCTCTAAAGATAATACAAAAGGTGCTGCTGAAAATGAGGATGCTCGAGGAGGCGGTTGGTGTCTGAGCTGTGATGAATCCATGGGAATCGTTGGGGGGCACCGTAGTGCAGTGAGATCTGGGGGGAAGCAGCAATTCCAACTTGCTCCGTCACTCTGTCCAGCTCCCTGTGCTCACTACGAGCTGCTGCCTTTTATCTTCTTATCTTGGGTTGAGGTGATTTTTAAAGAACTGCTCACATGTCCGTCTGCATGCCTGTGTGAATGCTGCACCCTGGGCTGGGTGCAAGTGTGCTGCACCCTGTACACACCAACCCCACACACACTGCTGCCCTCCCAGCTGCCAGCACACCTCTGGCTCGTCCTCCCATTTTTTATCCTTCCCATCCTTCTAGGAGATCTTAAACACAGATAAAACTGAAACCTGCAGTTTGTCAGTTCTGTTAGGAAGGATGAAATGAAGGTAAAGAGAGAATGTAGCGTGGAGAGCTGGCAGGATTTGTACTCTGAGCAGGGCTGTCATGGGATGTGGGTTCTCCAGTGGGGAGTTCCTGTGCACGTGTGTATGCACCTGTCCTTTCCCTATGGCACATCCAGACCTACAGAGCTGTAAGGACTGATGTTCTTTTGCTCTGATAGAACAACTGTTGGTTCAAGGGAAATTTTACTCATGTATCTAGCTGCAATAATAAAACCCACTGAAGTCCTATTAAAAATCATGGGTAGCAACTGGATTCAGAAGTAGTTCAGCTGTCATAGATCACCTTCTCTCAAGAAAAAAAAAAAAAATAGTAAAAGAGTAACAACCCAATGATTGTAATGTATAGGTGGGGAGGATTGCAGTGCTCAGGGAAACCTGTGCTGTGTTGAGATCAGGCACGTTTAAACACAGCACCAGAGCTTAAAGGGCTTTCTTTCCATGGGCAGAAATTACAGCGAGTGCAGCGCATCCTGAAAACTGCTGCCTCATGTCTGGTTCTCCAGCATTATCCTTTGGGAGAAGAGAGAGAGGTTAATGCTTTAGAGAGAGGAAAAGGGTTAATGCTTTGCCAGTAGCCAGATGCTGAATGTACAGTAAAGCCTCTGTGTCCTCTTAGGGTGCAGTGTTGAGCCAGAAGTCTGACTCTGCAACAGAAAGAAGGGAGGACATCCACGAGCTCCTGGTGGGCTCCCAGTGCCTCCTGTCTGCAGGGCCCTGCTGGAGAGCCATGCCCACTTGTGTCAAATGGAGTCACATTTGGTTTTCCTGATGTGATTTTGCAAAAGTGTAATGGGAAAACCATACAAGGGTATCAAAGCCAAGTAGAAAACATCCACCAATAGACAGCCTCTCCAGTTATCTTACCCCTTGGAGTATCAATGTGATTTGCACCACTTATGTTCTGGGACACTGAAAATCAAGAAACAGATTGCTGTTTCTTGAGGGAGCTGATTTGAAGGTACAAGCCCAGATTTCATGTATCCCTCTGCCAGGCACAGCTGAGTGCAATCTGAGAGGCAGCCAGGCAGCCTTGCCCATACAGATGATCTCTGTAAACCTGGCTGCTTGTCTACAGGCAGGGTTTGGGCATCTGCTTTTAGAAGTACTTTCCAAGTGGATGTGAGAAATGTCATGGTAAGTCTAAAAACACGTGCCATGGTATTTGGTACAGGCAGTATGTGAGTTTAATTTCAAAACTGGGATTGATTCCCTGCAGAGAAAAATATAGGATGATGAAGAAGTGGTTCTATCTTGCTCTTGGGACAGGCTGACCAGGGAGGTGTAGTCACAGTCCCTGGAGATGTCCAAAAACCACGGAGATATGGCACTAAGGAACATGATTAGTGGGCATGGTGAGGGTGGGTGAGTGATTGGACTGGGTGATCTTCATGGCATTTTCCAAACTTAATTATTCTATGATTCTATGATAACAATTTCTGAGTTGGGAGCATTGTCTTTGGTGCAATGAAATGCACCAAAATGGGAAGTGAAAAAGACAGAGAAGCCCCTGTGCTATCAGTGCTGGGGGCTGTCATCTTTGCCTACACTTGGTGCTAGCTCTGGCTTCTCCTCCACTCCTGGTCTGGTGGCCAAATCCTGGGGTGAGGAACAGTCTTGCTGTGAAAGCTGGAGCCAACCTCCAAGGTCTTCTTTCTGCATTGTCAGCCTGGCAAATTAATTTTTCAGATCATGAGCTGAAACTCATGAAATTGTTCTTGTCTGAGAAGATTATGGAATTACTCCCATGCTAATCAATGCATTAATGTTACAGCAACTGAAAGTCCCATTAGGGTTTTGACAGCCAAATAAAGACACTGCGGTGGCTGTGCCAGACCTCACTCCGTGTCTGCAGCAGGTGGGAAGAGGAGTATGGCTGAAGCTCCCCCCTTTATTCCTCCTTCTGTGGGGGCAATAGGGAAGGCACAACAATATCCAGTGCTTTTCCTACTCTGCAGCTCTCCGACAAATATCCATTCCTGGGTCAGCTCTGCTGGTTGCAGCATCCTGCTGTGAGATCATCTAAGATTAGCACTACCCTTCTTTCTTCTTGAGGCATTGATACCATACTGTGTAGTTTTGGACCATGACACATGTCCCCAAATACATGGTAAAGCAGAGTAGCCAGGACCCCAACAACAGATCGCTGGGGCGAGATGGGGCAGAGCACAGGAGCTGCAAGGGGAAGGGAAGGCTGCTCTATATTTGGATGTGGGATCTGCACAGAAGGGCTAATCCTCTTCCCTCGAATTATCCATCCTGAGGATTAGAATGCGTTAAACCCCCTGGGCCTCCCCCGCTGGAAGGGGACAGGGTTGGGGGTGCAGGCAGGTTGCTGATGACTCACGGCTGCCGCAGCCCTGCTGTGCCTTCCTGGAGGTCACCGGGGGTCCAGACGCAGAGTGACACACGAGTGACGTGTGGCGAGAAAGGGAACGTGGTGGTGTCCCGATTAGGAGAGAACACAGAGCTTTATAAATAATTGCAGAGATGAGGGAGTGTGGCAGAAGGTAGGAGGAAGGACGGGAGATCCAAAGCTGCGCTTTCCCAAACTGAAAGAGCCTCACCAGACTTTTCCAAGTTCTGTCTTTGTTAATCAGAAAAATGAATGCTTTTTGGGTTGCAGCCAATGCATCTGAGGTGCTTCCAACCTACCTTCTCTGTCTGGCTCTGGAAATGTGGTTCTGGGGACAAATTCAGGTTCATCTGTTTGGAGTGCGAATGAATCATTGTCAGTACCCCATTAAAATGTTGAAGGGAGGCCAATAACACAGCTCAGGGACAGTGTGTAGGAGGAATAGAAAGTGAGGAGGGTGGCAGTCGGAATGGCACCAAAAACAAAACCGGGATCCACTGCTGGGCACTAGTTGGTCTGGGAGGCTGAGGTAGGTGGTACAAGTGATGATCTGAGTCTGGACTTGTCACGAGGCCATTGCTTTTCGTCAGTCTCTGGAAGCTGAAATCCATCTCAACAGTGCTATGGTCCTTTCCTGCATTTAAATCAGTTTACTCCATTCCCTGCAGTCCATCCTACATGACCCAAATCAGGGATTAGACGCAATTGTATTTTCCTCTTCCCAGAACTGAGGCAAATGGGAAGCCTCACCTTGATGTTCTGCATTCCCAGCATCTAGAGTCTGTCATCTAAATAACTTCAGAGCAGCTTCATTTGAACAGGGCATAAATGACTGTGCTCCCACCTCCCATTTCAGAAGGGAAATACCTTTGACTGTGCATGAGGTAAGAACTAGAAATCATCAGGAAAAGCCTGGATAGAAGAGAGAAAGAGCAGAAAGGGGGAAGACCATGGGAAACCTCTGCCTTTAACGCGAGCTAGTGCCTTTCCTCCCTGCATCAAGCATCCTCAATTTCCTGTTTAACTTAAAGTCAACACATCTGTCACGTTAGCATCTCCCGCTGCCTGGTTCCCCTGAGCCACCCCCTCCCATCTGCTCTGCCTCCAGCCTCCCCCTGCTCCTATTGCTTTGTGCCTGGGGTGTGCGTGCATGCGCCTGTGTTTGCTGTTGCCTGATGGACTTTTCCACTGCTTCTGCTCCGGTACCTGGATGCAGGCGCAGTGGGATGATCGGCTTGGCTTGCAGAGCATTTACTTCTAATCTCCGGCAGAAAGGGGAGACCCTTTCAGGAGCAGCTCTGCGGGCTTGAAAGAGGAGAAATGGCTGGTGAATGGCTGCAGTGAGATATTTCGTTGTTCTGGTAAGAGATGATTTTTTCCTTGGTCCCTTTCTGGACAGTCGGTCGGGAATTAGAAGTAGTAAGGTTCAATGGGGTAAAAAAACAAAGGGAAAGGAGCCGAAAAAACAACAGAAAAGAAGAAAAAAAAATCAACAGTGAAGGCAGTTGTGTTTGTACTGAAGCTTTTCCAGGGGTCAGTGCCCATCAAAGCAATTTAATGACTATTAGTGAGAGGCTGGGAGGCGAGCAGATCAGACAATGCATGTGCCCAGGCAGTTGGAGCAGCTTTAACTCACATATCGTTTCATTGCCCGCTTGGAATCTTCATTTCTGTGCTATTTCCAGCTTGGTCGGGGTCACACTGTGAGCTGATGGTCTGACACCAGCGGTGCTCCCATGGGGTGATAATCCTGGATGAGCTGCTACCCAAATGCTGCTTCTCTGTCCTTTGCAGGAGTTTTGGAAGGTCATGAATTCGTGCCCCTAAGTTGATGCATAAAGCCTGTCATATTTTCTAGCTGATAAACTTTCTCCATTGCAAAGTCTGTGTTTTTCCTTGAAACCAGCCCCTTAGGCATTGAGAATAGCTGGTATCTTGGGAGCACAGATAAAGATGCTTGGAAGGAAGGGTCTGGCTGGACTATACTGCTATCTGATATCCTGAAGGAAAGGTCTGTGAGTCGGTTTAA